CTTGAAGATGGGCGCTGGCTGGGGAATTCTGGGAGTTGAAGTCCATCCATCTTCAAGTGGCCATGGTTGAGAAACACCTGTCTGTCTGTCTGTCTGTCTGTCTCTCTCTCCTATCTATCTATCTATCTATCTATCTATCTATCTATCTATCTATCTATCTATCTCATCAAAACAGCATAACAACAACTCCCAGCATCCGAAAGGGGAATGCTTCTTTGCACATCAACATTCAGCCTTGCTGAGCCCCAGCTCTTCAAGGCCTTCCAGAAGGCTGGGGGGGGGGGAGTCCCAGATCTCAGGCGGGTGTTTCACAAGGCAGGGATTGCCATGCAGAAGAAGCACTTTCTAGGTTCCACCAGATGATAACAGTTTGAGGAAGGAGGACGACTATCTCCCCTTTGGATTTCTTTCTCCCTAAATCTTGTTAGTACTGCTGCCAACCTTGGGAATCCTTGCAAGCTTACAAAAACTTCCCTCTTGTACCCAGGAGATGCTAGTTTGGCTACACAAGGACTTGGGGAAGAAAGCTGAGAAGAGTCGAAAAGAAATTTCTCAGCCCCTAAAAATGGCCCTTGTTGCCAAGTGCAAGAAAGGAACCACACAGCAGAGTTTTACATTCTGCTAGTCACAGATCAAATCCCCCATATTTTAATGTATTTAAGACTACTTTGAATCAATAGTGTTTTCTAAGACCGATTCCCTGTGAGACCAGTTCTTGGATTTTTGAAGAAGTTTTAGACAAATTTATGGAGGAAAGGGCTTCTAAGCAGTTCCCTAGCTCTGATTGCTAAATGTTATCACCTCACACAGGATCAGTTGATCTCTCTTTTTTTTTTTACTTTAAAATCTAGTTTATATTGGCAAGTAATAAAAGAGGAAGATCTACATAGATAATTGAGCCAAAAAGTCCACAATGATCTGTTATTTTACCATGCACAATATAAAGGAATGTCTTCCTGATGTGTTTAGCCACCGACAATAATATTGTTGATTGGAATATGGATCAGTTTTACGAAGAAACCAATAAATCCCATTATTGCAAAGCCTATTGCTGTTGCCATGGCAATCTTCTGGAATTCTTTTCTATCTGGTTTTGTGCATCTTTTAACAAGCCTGATGGAATCTTTCACAAACTGGCGGCTGGGTTCCACAAACTGCATTACTTGATCCATGATGAACAGTTCTGAAGAAAGTCCTTCTGCTGCAGGATCAGTTGATCTCTTAATACCAAGCAGCAAAGATAAGCAAATGTCAGGTAAGTATCAATTCTTTCTGTTCTTTAGGAGCTGGTTGTTAAGTAGCCAAAAAGGGCCATCGAACCAAAGACAGTGGTATTCCCAAAGTTTGCAAGAGTACCCAAAATTGTGCTTATATGGGCACAATGTACAAAAGCTACAGAGGAGAGAAGGCAAAAATTACAGCATAGAGCACATTCAAGAGGCACAACGGACAGGGCTGGGGGAGAAAAATGAGGTGAGGGGCAACCCCAAAGAGGGCAGGCTGTCAGGCTAGGACTTTGAAAAGGGCCCTTATGCACCACTGTGTTTTGTTGCAAATGTTTCCTGGGCATTTTGGATCAGCTGCCTTGAGCCAAAGTCCTGGGCAACTGCAGAGTTTGCACTCACCAAATGAGGAATCCTCATCTGTGTGCCAAAATCAGCTGAAAACTGGTTCTGAAGGGATCCCCTTGTACAGGATACTACGCTGGCTCAGACAGCCTGGATTTCTGCCCCACACCAGGACTTCCCTAGGTCTTGTTCAGCACGGGGTGGGAATCTAGTCCTTGTCTTAGCCGGCTGTGTGAACCAGACTATTACATTTGGCCATAGTGCAGTTTATTAATTTGGGCAACAACTCTTATAAGAACATAGTAACTGACTCTTGCGCTTAACAACAGAACTGAATACAGCAAATCAGTGGGGTTAAACCTGTTTCCTAATGAGCTGGATTGCAAGCAAAATCTCTGAAGTGTTCCTCTGAGTATGTTGAAACATTGGGAAGATGCAAGGAGTGAAAATTCTCCCTGATTAGGTCCATATACCATCAGCTTTTCAAGGCTATCTATCTTGAATATAAGGATCTAGTCGAAAAGGGCTTCTGCGCTCACATATTGGATAAGAAGTGGACTTTTTATGCAGAGCAGATCCATGTGAGAATTGCATCCTGGCAGTGTGACATATTCGGCAACTGAATACACAACTTGTCTTCCTTGTGCTGTTTTCTCTTAAAAATCTCTTGCCTCCATGCAGATTCCTTTATTGCAGGCTTCTAGCCCACCAGCACTTTCCTTGCAGCGCAGAGGACAGAGAGTTTCAAAACTGTGGTTCTACCCATCTGCTGGGCTGCTCACGGGAATGACAAACTCCTTAGCTGAGCAGGGAAATTGAGCTTCAGTCAAAGGGACCAAGAGAGATTGCGGAGTTGACTAGGCTGGGTTCTCTAGTAAAATCAGGTTGTCAAATGTCACTAGAGAATGGCCACATTGCTGACGGGGATGCCCTCCAACCCTGCTCATCCCAGGAAAATACTGGCCAGCAAAGTTTGTTTTTTTCTTTAAACTCACATTAATCATGCAAAGTTGTAAAGGTGATGGTCACAAGGTGGGCACCGTTGCAGAGCAAACCTGGCTAAAAAGAACTGAACTGCAGGGCTATTATTGGTCCACACCATACTTCCGGCACTCCCGCACTCCCTTCCTAAACGCAGGAGGTGCTCTGCTCTGCTATTTGTTAGGTGCTGGAAGTTGAGTGGGTATTGGGGCTTTGCAAAACCGCCGTCACAGTGTCCCCCTCCCAGCCGGAGCTACTGCCAAGATCCTGGTCTGGAGCAGCATCCTTCATTTTTCTTCTCTGCAGCTGCACCACAGATCTCTCCATGCAGGGCACCAAGCCTCTATTCCCCCTGACCCAATTCCTAGAAAATAGGGAGCATGAATGGGACTGCTGCCTCCAGGGCATCTGAGGTAAAGGCTGGGTCTTCAGATTCCCATTACAGTTTCTGGATTTATTGTAGCCTGGAGATCTTAGCCTGGAGAAAACTTTCCTATAACTTGTATCAAGGAACCTGGCAGGAACTTCTATTCCCTTCTCCCCAAAAAGCTGATTTTACTTCTGAAAGAAAGATGATTTGGCATTTTAAAACCAACAAGCGAGCGGCAAACAAGTAAACTGTCCAGGAATCCAAAGCAAATAGCGCTGAGCCTTTCTCAGGAAGAGCGACATATAAATGCAAAGGAAATCTGCCCATTTCAGAAAGCAAATCCTCAGCTAGATTTCTTTGAGAGCCTTGATAAGCTATCTCCTGAAAGAGCCGAGAAACTTCTTGTCGGTTGTTTACTAAATTGCAGTTGTTGGCTTTTACATTTTATTTATAGCTATGAAATTGGCTTTACTTGTGTTGGCTCCAAACCGCAAGCCATTTGGGTCGTGTAAGCTTTGCTGAAACCCACGGAAATGCATGGAGGCTTAATGGTTGTGGGTTTCAGCTTTGGGAGTTCTGCATCTCTCCGCTTCCTGTTTTGTTTAGTTTAAAAGAAGTGAAAACTTGGTCGGGAGGATTCTCAAGGGCTTCCGGGCTCCTTCCCACAATGCGTTTGCTCTCAGGGCTGTCTTAAAACTTAAAGAAATCCCAAGGAAACGCTGAAAGCCCCAAGAGGGGCTTGGATCCCACAGAATTGATTATTCCAGGCAGCAGCTGGGCTTGGATCATGCCCAAGGTCTGTTCCGACCAGAACGCATTGGAAGCAGCTGGATTAAATGGGTTTGCAAGGAGGGAGGCAACCTGTAGGTTGCATGCTACAGACAATCCAAACCTGGATGGGATGGCTAATAGCCCTGAAGATGGAAATAAAATTTAAAATAATATTTAACAGAGACAAAGGCAATGTTGTGCATTTAAGAAGAGGTGAGCTAGCTTCACTTAGGAAACAAGGACCCTTAAGGGAGAAATTTAGCACGGGGAAAGAGCTGGCTTGAGAATTGTACTTATAAAAATGATTTTGGAATGTTAGTTGCCTACAACATGAGTTGATGAGGCTGCAAGAAGATGAAGGCAGTTGTAGGTGATGTCTGCATCATTTCTCAATTGAAGGAAGGAAGAGTTCTTTATTTTGCATTGCTCAGAGCCCACCTTGAGCTCTGTATCTTGATCCAAGCATCAAATTTTAGGAAGGATTCAGGAAAACTGGAACGGGTTTAGTCACAAGGATGAGCAGGTGACCAGAAACCCAGCCTCATTAAAAAACTGGAGGAGTTGGGCATGTGGGGAAGATTGGGGGGATAGGATTGTGCTCTCCCAGGACCTTACAGGATATTGCACAGGAGGCAGCCAGGATCTGTATTGTCCCAAGACAGGAAAGCAAGTAAATGTGGGGAAAAACATCTTAAAAGTAACAGCAGGACCAATACTCCAGAAAGGTGCAGGGGGTCCCTTTCAAAACATGTCTTCAAGCAAAGTCTAGCCAACCATCTATCTGGGATATTTTCATCTGAATTACTGCACTGAGCAGGGGGTGGAATAGATGGCCTCAAGGGACCCTTCAAATTCTAGAATTCTGGTATTTTTGTGGCTTAGCATATCATGGAAACCTGTCAAGAGTCACCAACCCAGAGAACGGGTCAATACCATAACCAGAGTTAAGCACCTTGGGGAAAGCAGCCATGGGGTAAAGTCTGTAGTTTGACCAGCCTGGAAAAACGTGGCAGCGTTCCTGCCTCCGAAATCCAGAGTTTTTTCAGGATCCATGAGAAAGAGCAGCACGTGATTCTCAGGACCACCCTCAAAACAGAATCACAGCGCCCACCTCTTAACTATCTCATATTTCAGGCTGGGCACAGAGAACAGAGGCAGTGTGCCTTAGCTGAATGGGGACCTGGTAAGAGAAAACAACAGGAAACGACACCCTTGGTGCATTTCTAGCTCTTCCCGTGTTGATCAATGCAGATCATCAAATGCCAGGGTTGGAAGGGACCTAGGAGGTCATCTCGTCCAACCCGTCCAGTGAGGAATCTAGCAGATGCCCACCCGGTCTCTGTTTCAACTCTTCCAGCCAAGGAGAACCCACCACCTCCCAAGACAGTCCAGGTAATCCCTAACTTCGGGGTTGATTGGAATTAGATTCCAACAGCATCTGGATCCTGTGATTCTGACTCTCAGTTTGTGGGCTATAGAAAAGGAACCCTACACCAAGGACTGGAAAATAGGGAGAAACATTAACCCCTCTCCTCCAGTTATTTGCACTGGAAGAGAAGTTGCAGCACAGGCCTGAAGTGGAATTCCTTTTATCCTGATTGTTAGCGATGTGTTTATTTTGGCATTTACACTGATGTGCTGTCAAATGACTCTTTCATCTGGGAAATCATGTAATTTCTTACTGATTTTTGTTTAAAGAGCTGAAAGGTTTTAATTAGAAGTCTTTGTTACAGTTTGTACTTTTGAAGGATGGGTCCCTCCAGCATAATTTTGAATGGGAAGAGAGGATAGAAACTGAACACATGTTGCTAAGTGAGGCAAAGCCACCACATTTTCCTTGTCATCCTAGTGAAGAGCCAGAGTCAAAGGAGCCAAGATCCACTTGATTACTGATTTTTTAAAATTATTTTTTGCATTTTCCTCATTTTCATGATCTGGTTCTGCAATGCACTTTCCCCAGCCAGGTGCATTCCAGAAGTCTGGAATTTCAATGTCCATAACTCCCTCACTGCCTGCTTCCCTGGAGAGCATTAAGTTGGGGATTCACACTAACTCTTTAAACTGGGTTAACAAAACACAGTGGTTATGTTCACAGGAGAGATGATACCCAAACAAGCACACTATGGCTTAACAGGAAGGCTGGGTTCTTGCAACGGGACAAATCACAAATGAGCCAACACATTTTAAACTAGATTTGGATATTCGGCAAATGCAGCTGCTTGGTGTATGGGGGAAGAGACACCTGGCTACTGTAGGAAAAGGTGAAATAGTGCCAGCCCCTTAAACCATGCACTGTCTCATTACTTGAATTAACGCATTTGCTCTTAAAATGCACCCTGTGGCAGAACCCATGCAAAGCCACAAAAAAGCATAAGCAAATTCACCACAAACCCAATTCAGCATATAGTAAAACAGCATTTGCTAGACGTTTACTAGACCCATTTGAACACGGATGAGCTGGATTGAACAGGTGAGTCTGGCCAGGATCTAGGAAGACAGGTAGCCCAAATACATGGGCATCTC